ATGGGGCAAAATCGAACAGATCAAAATATCGTATAACACGGGTCAAGACTTTTCGTTTAATTCCAGTTGGCAGGCCGCTATATTGCATACGCGACTACGTCTTCGTCAGTCTGCACTAAACTCATATTTGTTTAAAATCTCGAGCAAGCCCTCTACGCTTTGTGAATGTAACGTTGGCTCTGTTGAAACGGCTTGTCACTATTTCTTACACTGCCCTCGATATGCCGCTATCAACAAGCCCTGGGGGGTAGTACTCCCCTATATTTGAAATACGGGTATGTGCCGCCCTATAGGCTTTTGGGTCTGGGGTAGGGTATCATTTTTTGACATTTTGTCTGGGATAGGGTGTCATTTTAGTCTGGGATAGGGTTAACGACTTGGTCGTTTTTGTCTGCCTAATAGGCTACGCTTTCTGCAGACACAAAAACAATACAAATGATAGTAAATATTGATTGCAATCGATTGTAAAACCGTATTTTCCGTCTTTTAGTCTGGGATAGGGTGTATAATTCTTAGTTTTGGTCTGGGGTAGGGTATTTAAAATCAAAATTTTAGGTATGGGATAGGGTCAGGGTTTTGAGGTCCTGGCGGCACACCCTTACCCAAGTTGGGGTGGTAGTACCCCCCTCCCCCCGGGTCAACAAGTAGCCCTTATGTCACTTTCCGCACAGCTTTTTGAAAACAATATCAAAGATAAGCTAAAGGTTAATTATATCTTGGATGGATCTCCCCATTTAACTTTTTCAAATAACATTAATGTTTTTAGAAGTACAAAAATATATAATTGAAACAAAAAGGTTTACAAAAAAATAACTACATTTACCAGGCCTTTTTCCCCGTGTATTGACTTCATTGCATTTATACACTGTAACCAGTGCAACTTTTACTTCGTTTTCTGTATATCTCTGTAAAACTCTGTACGCTTTACTACTAATTTTTTGATTACTTTGTGTACTCCATCTAATTTTGTAAATTTATAATAAGTGATCTCCCCTGATGATCAGCTTGCATGAGAGCTCTTGGATACAACTTTTTGAATAGAAACTATATCTTTAAATAAAAAAAAACGGCAAAATGCAATCCAAAACTATCTTCCACTAGTGCTTGCAAAAAACACAATTAGGCAGAATTATGAAGCAAAAAAAATAAAAATAAAAAAAAAAAAAA